ACTGGTACGGGCTCACATAACCCTTCAGTCAATTATAATGGAGATACTACTATGTCTGCACACATGTACCCATGCTTGCTCAAGAATTTCTAATAATCTTAAAGACTTGCTTACAGATGAGCCGAGAATGAGGGCAATAATATGTTTGTCGGAACACGGTTTCCCAGGGTGCCAAGATATTATCTCTCAGATACAGCAGATTGGCAAGCTCATTTCCTGAGTTTAAGAGTTCAAAAAGCCATTTCTCGCTTAACTTTGATTACAAGTCAACCTTCTCTTGCTAATTCAGAATGCTTGCTACGAGTTATTGGCTTTTCTCATCTCCTCCTGGAAGTGAAGCGACTGTCCCTTCTCCCATGTGGGACACTCTCCTGAACTGAAATCCTCCAAAGTTGCAGACAGTGGCCTCCGAAATCATCCTCTTGACGCAACGTTAAGTGAGTGAGGGCCTGAGATTTGTAATCAACAAAATCCAACGTGCCTAAAATTCTGCAAATGGGAAAAAACAGCAGAGCAATTGGTCTCACTCTTCCTTCTGCAGTTAAATCTGAATTCCTGGATATTAAAGGAAGATTAGAGTCCTGCGTGTTGACAAACCCTCCTCTCAAGTGAGGGAGGATGCTAATGTGGCCTCGCTGTCACCTCATTGAACTGCGGCCTGGAATGCCTTGATGGATGGTTGCTTGTGGTATGAAGGAAGTGTGGCTCTATGGGCTTTGCTTAGATTTGAGGGAAGAGAGGAAACTTCCTCCCAAGACGCAAAACACAAAGCATTATTTCCCAAAGCTCATTTATTAGCATGATGATCTTATATATAAAACACTGGCAGGATGGGGGCCAACAGGCGGTATGAAAGTTAAGTTGCTGGATCCCACATGGCTGACACGATAGTTCGAGTCCTGGACCCTGCAGTTTGAAAATCATGCCAGGTCCAGGTGCGGGCATGCTCAAAATCCCAAGAGAATGGAGGAGAAGGGATTGCGGTGTGGCCATCCTCCCTGGTGGGGCGGTGATTTCCCACTTGCCCTCATCACTCCCTAGCTCTCCAGTGAGCACAGGTGCCCTATAGCTAAAACCTTAAAAACAAACAACAAACAAACAAAAAAACTGGCCAGATGTGTTCTACAGGATACCCCACACGTCAGGAGAACACATCCTAAACTTAGCGGTGTGAAACCTACGTTTCAGGTTGTTTTGTGAGTTGTGTTTCTGAGCATGGAACTGAACAGGGGTTTGGAGGCCTTCCTTTCAAACACGTTCCTGCCATGGCACCAGACTCTGTCTTTGCAACTTGTTTATGTGGCTTCTCTCGATTTTTCTGGCTTATTTCTTTGAAAGAATTCACATACACACACACAGAGTTGGCTTTGCTCCCCACACCTTGGTTTCCAATTACATAAACCACCTCGGGCAAATTTAGAAAATCAAGATTTAAACCACTGGGTGTATATGCCTGGGAGGGGGAAGTGAAGTGAGACAGGGAAGGAGGAAGGAAGAAAATTAGAAAGAAGAAAAAAAAAAAAAGAAAAGAAATGATTCAGGCTGGTAGAACTTGCCTGAAAGGAAATGAAAACCCTTAAATTTTTTATATTGACCTTCTGCTAACATTTTGTCACACAGCACAGACTGGATTATGTGCCTTCTCTAGAGCTTCTATAATCATCTACCATGAATGGGAGGTTGGGACAGGTCCAGTAAAAGGCATTAAAGATCATTGTTAAGGACAAGGCTCTTAGAAACAAGTGGCCCACCCCTGTTGCAGTCTGGCCTCCATCTATCAGCCAATCCCAATTTGAAAAGGAAGATTTATGTGGATTTCTGAAATCATAATTTTCCATTAGCCTTTTCCCCAGGGGCTAGAAAGAAAAAAAATTTTCAATAATCAACGTGAATTTCTTCAACATCAAGTAACATTTTGATGATGAGTTGAGTGTTAACAAATCAGAAACACATGGTCTTAATTGACTGTGAAATAAATAATGTTTCCAAATGAAAGGGAGAGAAAGTTCTCATATGTAAAACATTAAAAAAGACTCAGATCGCAGAAGTTGCTTCAGGCATCTGCCTTCTTCCCCAATCCCAATCTTTTCTTCTTCTTTCCTCTCCTTTCTGTCTGGGTTTGATGTTCTCACAAACTGAAATATTGCGAGATTTCTCCAGACCTGTATTATCTTTCAAATATTTTCCTTTGGGGACCTTTGGAGTGTCTAAAATATTTATTTTCTCTCTTTCTCTTTCTTTTTTTTTTTTTTTTTTTTTTGAGAGAGAGATTTTTGCTATAGGGTGTGTGTACTCACCAGAGAGACAGAGACAGAGAGACAGAAAGCAAGAAATCGCCCCCCAGGGGGAATGTCCACACTGCAACCCCTTCTCCTCCATTCTCCTCTTGGGATTTTGGGCATGCACGCACATGCACCTGGCGTTGCTGAGTCCAGGACTCCAACTGTGGTCAAATACATTGGAGTCCAACGACATAACCATTACACCATCTGTTGGTCCCCATGGGAGTGTCTAAAATATTTCAAAATAAAAGCAGGAATATGTTCTAGGTTAAGACCAAGCCCCTGGGTTTCCAGCAAACCCAGAATCAGTGAAAAGAGAGTCCATGGGCGCTTCTGGGTAAGTTCCACTGTTCCTCTCCAAGACACCTGGCAGTGTTCTCTTCATGGGCACACATTAGAACAACCTGGCAGTTTAAAAACTGTATCCATGCTTGGGCTTCATCCCCAGAGATTCTGATTTAACTGACCCTGACCCTGAAGGAAGTGGCCAGGTGCTGGTCTATCTGGATGTGCATTTCTAACAAGTGTTCAATGATTCTGAATTAAAGCGATGAAAGTTTTATGTTATACCCATGTCTGGCAATGTTCTGTGTACTTTATGTAATATCTTTGTTTTTTTCTTTTGATCAGAGCGTGTGCACTCCATGGAGAGAAAATGAGAGAGAAAAGGAAAGCGAGGGAAAATTTCCCAATGGGGAGTGGCCACGCCCCAATTCCTTCTCCTCCATTTCTTCTTTTGGGATTTTGAGCACACATACACATGTGCTTGGCATGCTTCTCAAGCTGCCAGGTCCAGTATTTAAATGGATCCAGCCATCTCAGCAACCTTGTAACCAGCTGGCCCAGGACCAACTCTTTTTTTTTTTTTTTTTGTGGGGGTTTTTCTTTAGGGCACCTGCGCATAGGGCACGTGCGCTCGCCAGACAGAGATAGAAAGACAGAAAGTGAGAAATCACCCCTCAGGGGGAATGGTCACGCCACAATCCCTTCTCCTCCATTCTCCTCTTGGGATCTTGGGCACGTACGCACACGCATCTGGTGTGAGTTTTAAGCCACCGGGTCCAGGACGCGAACCACAGTCGACTACATGGGAGGCCAGCGATATAGTCATTATGCTAACTGCTGGTCCCGGTACCAACTCTTTCAATCTTCCTACCACCGCCTGAGATGGGCAGGCACTGTGATCATGCCCTGCACTGAGCACGTGAGATGACTAAGGCACAGAGAGCTTCAGACGTCTACCCAATGTCACACAGCTAGCCAGCAGCAAAGGCAGGATTCCAACCGCGTGCCTTCAGCCTCCATGCTCTTAACCACTGTATGAATAGATGTAAGGAGCATCAACCACTGTTGACTAGATCTCAGAGGGTACAGGCGACGTCAGAGGGCTTGATGAGCCGCTTCTTAGGTCACACCCCAAGCCTACTGAATCAGAAACTCTGGGAGCCACCTAGAACTGGAGTAAAACATGCTCTGGGGGGACCTGGGAGACACACTGGAGTTTGGGGAGCACTGCGCCCCCATGCCACGCCTCTCAGACGCTGGTGGGTGCACCAACACAAGTCAGATGTTGAGAAACATCAATTAGGAGCTCAGCTCCCCACTCCCAGATGGCAGCTGCGCACGGTGCCATCTTAGATGGATGGCTGAGCCCCGTCTAGCAGTGATGGAGAACTCAAAACAGCTGATCTGTGGCTTATTCGCCCACAGAGGACATACTTGTCACAGGGTCCACGGAAATGTGGTGCCTTCTCCAATTAGAGAGTGAATTCTTCCAGGATGACAGGCCATACGCACCGTCCAGAGCAAAACCACAGGAGACTGCTCTCTTAAGGAACAATACCCAAACCCCACTGTAATCTTTCGTTCCATCTCCACTAATGAGATCGGGAAGACGCCCAGTGTCTCCATAAAGCTAAAGATCAAACCCAAACACAGCAATCTCTTCTCCAAGTTTATACGAACAGAAAAGCATAGGATATTTTCTAAGCAGTTCTAGAGACTCTTTCCATGTGTGGCTCCCTCTCTATAATTTCTGAATGTGCCCTAAATTGGTTTCTCTCTCTTTAGAAAGGGTAGTGGGTGTGTGGGTGGGGTGGGGGTGGGTTAAAAGGAAGTTCTCAAATGAGTGACACTCTCCAGCAGCAAGGCAATCACCTTCCTGGAGTGATTTACAGCCTTCCTCTAAAAATATCTATGAGATCACAGTACATTAAGTGCACGACACCAAACATTTGTAACTAATCCATGAAAATAAAGTAAGGGCGTCGTGTTGCATGGGGAACGCAGTGGAATTTGTCTTGTGTTATCGTTCTAAAATAAGACGGCCTCAATTTTGTTGAAATATATCTTCACACATTGTCTTCCCAGAGCAGAGCCATTTGAGAAATTCTGATTGCAATTATAAGTGCTGAATAGGGAGTACTTTGCATTTCCTTTGACGACGCTGAAAGCTATAAGCAATCCTGATATTAAAATCTTTGGAAATTGATGAGTACCCCAGGCATCATTACAATACTTTCTCCTCCAATCCAAGTAATTAAAATCTATTATGTGAACACGTGTTACTATTTTATCAACTACTGTTTTTAATTAACGCAATGTATGAGGCCTCCTGCAGTAGGAAATGGTAGTGTTTCATTTGAAGTGACCCCCCCTCCCCCATTCCCAGCCAGACTTATTTCTGAGTCTGGATGGGGAGTTTGATCACAAACCTACCACAGTACTGAATTCCGGAACCTGCCACAAGAGCCAGTCTTCATTAAGAGTGTACAGGGCTTTGCAAGAGATGACGTCTACAGGACCCTTGTTTATTTTCTGATTCAGAGTCGTCACCAGCAGATAGAACGGCTCTCCGACAGTCTCCTTGGAAAAGATGCAAAAGCAACAATTAGCTCTCTGTGGGTTCCACTGTACTTTGCGAAGAATTAAAGTGTCGGCTTATGGCAGTGTCTCTTCCATGAGACAGGAGGCAGTGTTTTCTAACAATCAACACGAAACACCCAAGCAAACACACAGTGCTCCACTTGGGGTTAGGAGCACAACTCAGGAAACTGCCTCTCCTCCCCTCTGCTCCTCAACTGTGCTCGTTCACACATTTCTAGTTAATAGGAAGAGGAAGAACACAGAAAAGTTCATCGTTCTTTTGTGTTTGGGCTTATCTATGGTAGACTGTTGCCGGTCCATGGGCTGATGCCTAGGAGCAGATAGTAGATGTGGATACCCAACCTTTATTTACATTCCTACTAAAGCCTTTTGTAGCAAACGGAAAATAAATGGCATGTTAAAAAAAAATGCACAATTGGGACTGGCAGGTGGCATGGTGGTTAAGGCACTGGACTCCCACATGGCTGACTGTGGTTCAATTCCTAGACCTGGTGGTTTGCTTTCTCACTTTCCTTCTTTCTATCTCTGATCAAATTAAAAAATAATAACAATAAAAAATAAAATAATTCTTGAAAAATGCACAATTATTAGACTTGGTAGATTTAAGGAACATAGATTTAAGGAACATCTCAAATGTTCACCAAAGCAAGTGATTTTTGGTGTTAGCACCTCTTCATGTGGAAGGTGGCCTTCAGTTAGACCATTTGAAGCCTCGTCCCTCCCATGAGCCAGGCCTGTCCTGTGCTATTCCATACACACCCTGCACCATTCCACCCCAGCACCTGTGCTGGTACAAGGCCACGGGCTGCTCCATCTCCTTTCCTGGGACCAGAGCCAAATCCATGTCTTCTAATGGTTTTTTCAAACACTCAGGCCCATCCCAATGGCTTCTTTCTCTAAACTTCTGCCGTGGGCACTTTCTTCCTAGATGGGGCAGCCTCCTTTACTGGTATTGAAATGCCTCGTGTATGCAGCCACTATGTGTTCTGAGGACTCTGAGCAGCTTGAGGATAAGGCTATGTTCTTGGCTTCGCCCGCATCCTTCCAAGGTTTGTAGTCCTGAGTCGGCTGCAGTGTTTGCTAAATAAACCTTCTGTGATCAACAGGCCGATACACGAGGAGGAGAACCGGCCAGAGCCAGGAAGTCAGAGTACCTTGGTGATGATGAACAGCCAGCCACATGCTAGGGCTTACAAATACACCATGTTCCAACGTCGAGCATTCCAGGCAACGGCTGGAAAGGAGGACTCTGCTGCACTTCTCACCTGTTTCCCTTCAGCAGGTGAATTTCCTAAGATCTCTTTTAAGCCTCTGGAGATCCCAAGATCCCTAACTTAAGTGCAAGAACATTTGCCTTTTGCAATCCTGGGGCCACTTCTTGCTCCCTCTTGTCATTCTCAACCCCCCACCCACTGGACTCCCTTTGTCGGTTCTTGCGCCCGTGCTGAGACATCGTGGAGTCTCTTCAATGCAGGACAGGAGTGGAATGTTGAAAAATTTCCAAGGTGGGGAGAACCGTGGAACTAGTTCGTGACAGTCAATGCTCAGGAGAAACTTCCTCTATTTTGTGGTTCACAACTTCACAACTCTCTTCTTTTCCCCTCCACCCCCTCGGGTAATGTCCTGACCACAAAGCTAGAAGCCTACTTTTCCTCCTGCACAGACCAGAGATGGGGCTGATAGCCCTGTAGGGGCTGTGTGTGCCTGCAAAAGCTTGGAGTCTGGGGACCAGCTGGGTTCTCCTGGCTGTGTGGAGGGGCAGCTACTGACTCAAAGTTCCTGGAATCAGAAATTGTCTAGAATTCTCCAGAACCTTCTAGAATTCTCCATGTAGACTGAGAAAAGTAATATCTCATATTACACTGCTGTTCATACCCATGGTTCCAATCCTGGCTAATCATCACCAGAATCCCTTGGGGCACTTACAAAAATCCAGATGCCTGGGTCCCACATTAGACCGAGCAAACTCGAAACTCTGGAAGCCTGGGAATCTGTCATTTAAAAACCTTCCCAGGGGGATTCTGTTGTGTGGCCAGCTTAGGGAACCACAGAGCCGTGAGGTTTCTTTGTCACCACTGAACACAGTTTCTAGGTGAGTCATGTCTGTTGGGGACATGACTTCCCTTGCCTAGGGACTAGGCATAGGCACACTAATAGATCAGTACAAGGACCAGCAGTTAGCATAATGGCTATGTCACTGGACTTCCATGTAGTTGACCGTGGTTCGAGTCCCAGACCCAATGTCTTAAACTCACGCTGGGCGTGTGTGAGTGCGTGCCCAAGATCCTGAGAGGAGAATGGAGGAGAAGGGATTGCAGTGTGGCCATCCCCCCTGGGGGGTGATTTCTCACTTTCTGTCTCTCTGGCAAGTGCACATGCTCTATAGCAAAAACCTCTAAAGAAAAAATATAAGTAAATAATTAAAAAAAATAAAAAATAATTAAAAAAAATAGATTAGGACAGACTCCATCTTCTCAGCACACAGGGGAAGGGCTGAGTGCTCTCAGGGCCTGGCACTGTCCCATGTCAGCTGAGGGTCCTGGGGAGAGTGACACCGCTCTGTGGGCCTCAGTTCCCCACAATACAAAATGGTCATAAACATACTTCCCTCAGGATCATTACGGGGCTCAATGAGGAACAGCAAGTCAAGTTGTTGGCATGATGTCTGGCAGTTGGATAGGTAGCAGTTACTATTATTATTATTTTACCCCTAACGACTTGGGAGGCCCAGGAAGTTACTTGGAGGTCACAGAGCTAGTGCCACCCACCACCATCTGTGGTGTAAGGTCTGAGAGCGTGGGCTGTGTTGTCCCATACCCCTGGAGAAACTGGTTGAGGGACATCGGGCCCTCTGGCCCAGAGAGAATCATCCACTAAAAGTCAAAGCATCGCTGGCATGCTGCCACTTCTTCCTGGTGGCTGTGCCGCCCCTCGCCACCCTGAGTGCTCAGACGCTCTTGAATCAGCGCTGGAAAAAATCTTGACCCAGAATCTTTTGCTCAAGAGGGCTGTTTGGGCTTGGAGCCCAGATTTCTGAACACCTCACTCCTTTAATGCCCAAGAACTGTCCTTGAGTGCTCAGAGTCAGAATCACAAGGTCCCAGTAGAAAGAGCTGGGAAGGAATTTAAAACCAGTGACCATGCCCCTACTTGGTCAGTAGAAAACAGATACCCAGATGGAAAGAGCCACGACCAGAGACACAAGGCCACTTGGCATTGAGCCAATTTTAAAGCCCAAACCTGCTGCTTCAAACCAAGACTCCTAGTTCAGAGCTTTCAAAAAAATAAAAAAATTTAAAAAAAGGAGAGATTTATTTATTTATTTATTTATTTCTTCAATTGGCACATTCAAGAGAGAGTCTTGATACCGAGATTGACCCCAGATCATGAGTGGACACACGCCTGGCAGGGAGGACTCTGGAAGGGAACTCAAACCTTGCCACGTAGGTTGGTTTCTCAGTGTTGTGTTTTTACCTCTGCATCACTGTCCCGCCCTATTGTTTTTTTTTGTTGTTGTTGTTTGTTTCTTACCTTCTTTCATAACATTGAGAGAAAGGAAGAGGGAGAGTGAGTGAAAGGAAGAGGAGAGAGAGAGAAAGATGAGCACACTCAACGGCCTCACACCACAATCCTCCCAGCCTTCCCAGCCAGTCATGCATCAGTCATTTACAGGCCGACTGCGGAACTGAACCTGCAGTGTTCCACATGGGTCCACCATCATTTGAGTAACATGTTTCTGTTGCACCAACGAGCCAGCCCTTGTGTTCTTTCTACTACTCCAGAGCTTCTCAAGTACAGGGTACGATTACTTGGAAGAGCTTGTGGAAAAGATGGCTGACTGGGCCCCACCTCCAGAGCACCTGATGCAGTGTGCCTGTGGCGGGGTGGGTGTTGGCTAAACACCAAGGCCGAGGAACTGAGTGAGAGTTCTGCTTCTTCTGGCTGGCAGCTTTTGTAGCTGAAGCACTGATGCTGGGAAGCAGAACTTACTCGCTCCAGAAATAAGTGCTCAACACCTCCCCAAAGCATATGATGATTTATACCAAGTAAACAGAGAAGAAGGCAGATTTCATTAATCTTAATAAATGGATACTGCCTTAGGAGAGGAAGGGGTTGGTTAATAAAAAAAAAAAGAAAGAAAGAAAAAAATTGTGCATCTACTTTAAGATTGCATTAAACATTAAACTAAGCACAGTCTATTTAAAGTGCTGCTTTTCCATCTAGACTTAAGTAGCGCTGTTAAAACCTGTGGCATAGTAGTGTATCTTATTCAAAGTTTAATTAGATTTTGGAACTAGCTACAAATACACAATTATGCAGTTTTGCTGGAATCTGGATGGCTGGTGAAATTAAAGAAGGATAAGAACCTTCTGTACCAGGAGCCTCAGAGGGCTGAGTGACGTTGGGTTCCACCCAACACCCTTACTTTCATATTAATATTTTATAATAATAAAGCCCAACATTGATGGAATGCTCACTAACTCAGTGCTAAGCAATCGAATACATTTTCCCATCTGTGCTTCAAAACAGTCCTAAAACATCTTTCTTCTTCCAATTCTACAGATTATAGAATCAAGTAAGTGGTTAAGTGTAGACTCAGACCAACCAGTGGACTCCAGAGTCCACTGTCTTAACCACTGGAATCTGTGAAGTTTGCAATTAAAAAGATTTTTTTTAATAATTATTTTATTTTATTTATTTATTCATTCATTCTTTTTTTTTTTTTTAAGAGGTTTTTGCTGTAGGGCCACCAGACAGACAGAGAGAGAGACAGAGAGACAGAAAGCGAGAAATCACCCCCCAGGGGGGATGGCCACACCGCAATCCCTTCTCCTCCATTCTCCTCTCGGGATCTTGGGCACGCACGCACACGCACCTGGCATGAGTTTTAAGCCACCTGGTCCAGGACGTGAACCACAGTCTTCTACGTGGGAGTCCAGCGACATAGCCATTATGCTAACTGCTGGTCCCCATTCATTCATTTTTAATTTGACCAGACAGAGGTACAGAGAGAGAAAGAGGGAAAGTGAGAAAGCAAACCACCAGGTTTGGGACTCAAACCATGGTTGGCCATGTGGGAATGTCCAGCACTTTAACTACCACGCCACCTGCTGGCCTCACAATTAAAAAGATTTTAGTATTCTATTAGATTACAATTGTATTCATACAGTAACCCAAACAAAGTGAACTGCTGGAGCAAGAGGCTCTTTGGGGATTCACTTTAATGTGGAATGACTGGTAAGAACCCATTATAATTCATGTACAGAGTACTGGTTGCTAATGTTTTTTTTCTCCTTTTTTCCTATTTTTTTAAAGTGCATTTATTTATTTATTCCTGAGAGAGAAAGAGAGAGAGAGAGAGAGGGAGAAAGAATCCCCATCAGAGTCTTGACAATTCACCCCCAGTCCCAGTCAGCCCCAGATCATTGGCATGCGCATGCTTGGTGTACTCAGAGAGGTCTCTGGACTTGAAGTGGGAACCCTCTTAAGTGGGATTGTCTTGCAAAGTGTCACATTTTATCTCTGTGCCACTGTTTGGCCCCAGTAGTAGGTATTTCTTTCTTTCTTCTTCTTCTTCTTCTTTTTTTTTTTTTTCCTGGAGAGGTTTTTGCTATAGGGTGCGTGTGCTCGCCAGAAAGAGAAAGAGACAGAAAGCAAGAAATCACCCCGCCCTGCACCCCCCCCCCAGGGGGGATAGCCACACCACAATCCCTTCTCCTCCATTTTCCTCTCCAGATCTTGGGCACACACACATGCACCTGGCGTGAGTTGAAGCCACCAGGTCTGGGACTCAATCCGTGGTCAACTATGTGGAAGTCCAGCAACATAGCCATTATGCCAACTGTTGATCTGGTCCCAGTAATAGGTATTTCTGATGTGCTTCAGAGGATCTGAGACTGTTCTCTTCAGTATTTGAAATACTCCCTTTACCCATTATGCTTTCTGAAATAGGCCGACTGGTCTGGGGTGTTAATTGATATTAAAGATGAGAAGGTGGGCTTGCTTGAAAAGTCTGACCTGAGGAAGTTCTAAGTGAATTACATCTGCATAGGCAAGTTACAGCAGAAACAGTGTTTATCTTTCTCTCTGTCCTCTCCTGGAGAGGAGACTGAACAGAGTCAAATGCTGACACCATGGGGCAAGAGGGACTACTCCTGGCAAAGACATCGGTAGCTGCTAAAAATAATAGCTTATTGTCTTACCTCTGACACTGCAAGGGACGTGACACTTACCCGGAGGAAACCAGAGAGGCAGACGGACATCCAATTTGTGAGGAGTTTCTCGACCACGGACTCTGTGCGCCTGAGCATGAGTTTAGGCTGCATGTTGCTGGACTGTTCCATCAGGTCCCTGGTCAGCACCTCCAGGATGCTGGTCAGGTAGACCAGCTTGGTTTGCAGCGCAATGGTTAAGAAGGAGGCAAACAGACACCTGTTTAAAAACAGAGCCGGGGTTAACCATCAGCTGTGAGCCTGGCTGCGTGCTGCTGGTAGTTTCCATCGAAGTCTGCAGGCAAGGTGAGGGCTGTGCTGACCTTTTAGGCACTTTATTTTATTTTTTGTTGTATTTTATTTTATATTTATTTTTTGCTATAAGGGGCATATACTCACCAGAGAGATACAAGTCCGGGGAGAGAGAGAGAGAGAGAGAGAGAGAAGGAGGGAGAGAGGGAAAGTGAGAAATCACCTCTTAGGGAGGATGGTCACATTGCAGTCCCTTCTCCATTCTCCTTTTGGGATTTTGGGCATGAACATGTATGCGCCTGGAGTGTTTTCTAAGCTGCCAGGTCCAGGACTTAAAACCATGCACTTGGCCATGTGGGATCCAGCTGCCTTAACCACCAAGCCACCTGGCTGGCCCATGGGCACTTTACCTTTTCAATGTTTAGATTCTAACCACTTTTGCCTTCAAATCATAAAGACCACACAACCAAGTTAACTGTAGGACGTTTCTTATATGTTCAACACTTAAACTACAGCGGTAAAAGGAAGTGAGTCTCCTGAATTTTCAGAGTATTTTTAAAATTAAAAAGAACACTTCTGCTTTTTTCAATTAAGAATTTGTTTTTTCCTGGTGTTGGGGTTTTACAGGGTTTCGGGGGAGATGTTGTGTGCATACATGTGTGTGTCCCAAAAAACACGTGTTCGAATTCAGGCAGTGGTCGGATGTAAAATAAGGGGCCTCGATTTTATTTTCTCTGCTTAAAGGCTTTCAAAATATACAAGAATGGACCAATACCTGTCTTTCACTGAAAAGTTCTTCTGCTTTTCCAGGGTGTGGATGACAGTAACAAGGAAACTTTTATTACAGATGAGGGCATCTAAAGCTGTGAGACTTTCATTCTTGTCATTGGCGTCTCTGTTCTGTAAAAAGAATGAATATCATCTAATATAACATAATATAGTATATATAAGTTTAAAAGTTAGAAAGTAGATCCACAATGGGTTTTCCAAGACAATGAATTATTTAATATTGAATTCATGATCCCAAAAAACCCACACTAAAAATTCAAAGTAATAATAATGGAGATGATAATGATGATGATAACACTATGAAAGTCAGGCAGTCACTGGGCTAAAAATGAAAACTTAGAGACTTACATGCATATCTTCAGTGAAGATGTGTGTGAAGCCACCTGACTGAGAGGAAGGAGACACTTTTATTATTCATAACATCCAAAGGAAATGAATAGTGTATTTTTGTTATAATACCCAAGTCTGTTTTAATAAAGTACAGACACTATTTGCTAATCTGAAGAGCCCCTGGGCTTATGCTTGCTGCATAGTCTCTAATACATAATAAATAATTATTCAGCTCTCAAGAAACACCAGTGAATTCTGAAAGCCTCTAAGAAGAATAATTATCATTGTGCATTAGTCTCATCGTTGGTAGATGAAGGTATCATCTCATACTTTAAAAGAATTGATGCCAAAGTTCAAGAAGTGGGCTCAGCCTGGTGGCACAGTCAGAAGGTAGCACACTGCACTGCAGATGGCCATGGAAGCCACATGGCCATCTGCAGGTCTGCATCCTTGGGCTGGCCTGAAAACACACCAGAGCGTGTGCGTGTCCCCAGAATCCTGATGAACTGGAGGGCCGGGGGGAGGGGTTATGGCGTGATAGGACCCTGTCAGAGATGCTTCTCTCTTTCTTGTGCACACATATGTGCTATCATGAATAAAATAGATAAATAAATAAAGTCTTGTTAAAAACTTTGGACAGGCCCCATAGCCTGGTGGTGAAGAGAGCAGAATCCCGTAAGGCACTCAGTAGGTAGGTGGTATGAATTCCGGACCTGGAGGCTTGCAAAATGCTCTGAGCATGTGTGTCTAAAATCCTGACAGGTTGGAGAAATGAAGAAGGGTGGTGTGACTTGCCCCATTAGGGGGTGTTCTCGTCAGCTCTCTATCTCTGTTCTCTAGCTCTCTCTGATAAATGTATGTGCCCTTTTCTTGAGAGAGAGGGATTTTTGTTACAGTGTGTGTGTGTGCTTGCCAGAGACACAGAGAGAGAAGGAAAGAAGTTTTTCTGCTTTTATCTTCCACCAAGGGGTGGGGGGGGCACACCCAAATTCCTTCTCCTCCATTCTCCTCTCAGGATTTTGGGTACACACACACACATACCCGGCATGAGTTTCTAGCCACCAGATCGGAGCCTAGAACCATGGTTGACCAGGTGGGAGTCCAGTGCCTTAACCACTATGCCATCAGCTGGCCCCTACATGGACCCTTTTGCAGTTAAAAAAGTTAAACAAGTGGTCATTGAAGACGATTGTGCAAATGTCAGGTCACTGCTCAAGTAATTTCTCTTGTATGGATAATACTGAGTTATGTTCATAAGCTTTCTCAAGTCTTTGCCAAGTAGCATCTACCGTGCCAGTATTCACTGTTATTCACAAAGGGGTAGAGCTGCGTGGCTACAAGCGTGGTGTCTGGAGCCAGACTACTTAGGTTCCAGGCTAGATTTCATCATGGACCAATCACATGACTTTGAGCAAATCATTTCGCCTTTCTGTGCTTGACTTTCCTCATCTGTAAAATGGGGACAACCATGGTTCCTACCTCAGAGGTTTAGCGTGAAAACAAAGTGAATAAATGAGTAAGTGCTCTGTGAGAACTATTACTGCTGTTTTTATCCCTCATTCATGACAAGCTAGACCACAATGCTATTGCCCTACTGATTTCTAAAAATAGTTTTATGTACTATGCCATGCAGTTACTGAAAATAAGCTTTTTATTTGAGGGGTTTTTAATGTATCATAAACCTTACCGGAATTAATTGTTAATTTTAAAACGCACGCTTAGTAATGCTATAAATGAGTCAACAGAGTGAAAATATAAACTCAAACATCCAGATTTTCCTCTTTGTTCAGTAATACTTGAAACTTTGGGCTGATTTCAGATCTTATAAAAGTAAATTTCTTCTGCAAGAATTTTGCTTTATAGTTTCAAATTTGTTAGCCCAAGCAGAAGACCTCAAACTATTTGGGTCATACTCTCCCCCAGTAAAAAGAAGAAAAGTCATGCCAGCAAGTGGTGTCATGGTTAAGGTGGTGGACTTCTACATGGCTAATCATGGTTCAAGCCTCAGACCAGGAGGCCTAAAAAATCACACTGGGCACGTGTATGAATATGCCCAAAATTCCAGGAGGAGAATAGAGAAAAAGGGACTGTGGCATGGCTATCCCCCTAGGGGTGATTTCTCATGTTCCCTCTCACTGTCTCTCTGTCTCTCTGGTGAATGCAAACACTCTATGGCAAAAGAAACAAACAAACAAACAAAAAACCAAACCAAACAAACAATAAACAAACCTGGGTTTGCATTTTTTAGTTCCTAATGCAAATACTCCTCAACTTACAGAGGGTTATAGCCTCATGGTAAGTTGAAAATATCCTAGATGGAAATGCACTCAACCTTAAGAACATCATAGCTTACCTTAGCCTATATTAAATATAATCAGAACACTTATTAGTCTACAGTTGGGCAAAATGATCTAACTTAAAGACTCTTTTATAATGAAGTATTGAGTATCTCATGTAATTTATTGGATACTGTACTAAAAGACAAAACCAGATCAGTCATATGGGTATTTAAAATATGGATCCTACTAACTGTGTTATCACTTTCCCATTGTCATAAAGTCGAAAAATTTTAAGTCAAA